TGTTATTTTTGCAGATGATTTAAAGATTTAAAGGATATTTTGTGTGCAAAAGAACGTGAGTACGACATTCTTAACATGTGGTTTGATATCAACAGATTGTCCCTTAAGAAAACTCAATTCATGTTTTTTGTGACCAAAAAAGGATATAAAGAAAATATTGAATTAAAGGTTTTTAATACCAAAATTAAAACAGTCAGTGATGTAAAATCCTATGAACAACATTTTCATTATGTTATAGGGAAAATGTCAAAGTTATTAGGTGTTCTTTATAACACTAAGCATCTATTAGAGCTTTACATATAATTTCCTGTTCACTTGTATTTTTTTCTTGTGTGGAGTTGTGGGGGTCGGCTTTTAAAACAATAATAAATTTAATGCTTATACTACAAAAAAAAGAGTAATCCGAGTCATTAATAAGACTGGTTATAATCACACTGAGGCACTGTTTCTAAGGTCACACATAATGAAAGTGAACGATTTGGTGTTTTTAAAGTAATGAAAATAATGTTTAAGCAAAAAACAAGTTATTCCCAAACTGTGTTCAAAGGTTTTCTCAATAATTTGAGAGATTTTTGTCATTTTACTGTAACAAAAGCAAATAAAGAGATTAAACAAAGGTGTACTTCTGTTGTTGGGGTTTAATTGTCGAATGATGTTGATATGTGTTTAAAAATAAAAAATGCAATTCATTTGCAGTCTTCAAAAGAATGCTCTACAAATATATTTATCGAGGGTTATATTTGAGATTATTTTGTTTGTTAATGTTAGTCTTGTCTATTTGGAAAGGTAGGGTACCTTAAATGATAAGGATGTTGGCCAGGCATAAATATAACCAGGGCTGCACATAAGTGGTCCACAGGTGCGCATTCGCTGTCAAAATAAAAGAACGAGGGAATGAGACTGCGCTTTCCTCTGTCCATTCCCATCGACTCCATGCTCAGTGTGTCTTTTTAATGTCTCATTTCAGGGCCTGAGTTCTTCGAGCAGGGTTGTAAGGAGCATAGATATATTTGGTTCATGCATAGAAAAGAAACTGGACCCCTGGTGTTTTTCTCAGTTAATGTTATAATTTCTTAGTGTCCATCTACTTTGACAATCTCTGAACATTTTAACTGCAAAATCACAATGTAAGATACTAGCTAATCTGTGTTTCATGTTCATCCTCACTGGAATGTTCTTCCCTTTCCTTTTACAGTGCTCAAATGCCAGTCTGTGTTATCACAACACAGAAACCTGGCTATTCAATTCCACCTCGAGTGCGTCTACACTAGTCTCACCTACTATGAGTACCAGCCTGCCAAGGAACACATCGAGAAGGCTCGGGAGCTTTCGGGGCTCACCATCAACATGACTGGTAACTGAAGTACACACCTGGAGAAAAGAATGCTGAATTGACAGATAACCATAGGAGGCCTGTATAATCAGGGAGAGTTGACAAAAGGGAGTCCTACATGAAACACAATTTGACAGTTTAACAAATTATTATTAGCAAACCCAAAGTTACTAGAGCTGGAGAATTAGGCCTCCAGTAGTTTAGCCCAGCGGTCCCCAACCCCCGGGCCTCGGACCGGTACCGGTCCGTGAGAGTTGAGGCTCAGGTGTGAAATGTATAGTTTTCAGGGTTTTTATCGGTTTTCAGCGTTATTTTGTTAT